CATATTCCCATGTAAATGTGTCACACAGAATCTGTGAGTCACAGCTGGAAGAACTTCATCAAATGCAGGGAGTAAACCCTTTTGCTTATCTGCCAAACAGTTAGGTAAACACTTAGAAATAAATGAATGCAAAACAAATGGTAAGCTTTTAAAACTATAAGATATGAATGTTAATTCCAGTTCACATACCTGAAATAAATGTTAATTCCAGTTCATCAGCTGGAGTTATTGCAAGATCTGACTTAAGATGTTTTAAAAACCAAATCCAACTTTCCTTATTCTCTCCTTCTACATGTGCATAAGCAAGAGGAAAGACACTATCATTTCCATCCACTCTAATAGCTAACAGCAACTGACCCCCATGCAATCCCTTCAAATGACACCCATCCACTTCAATAATAGGCCTACGGTACTTATAGCCTATTCTACATGCTTCCTAGCACATGTAAAATCTCTTGAACCTTCTATGGCCATCATCTAGTTTATCACCCAACTTCACATGGTATTTGCTTCCTGGATTTGTCCTGTCAATCTCCAAGCAGTAACTCCATAGTTTATTAAAGCATTTTTCTTCTTCACCATAAATGGCAGCCCTTGCTTTCCTCATTGCCCTCCATGCTTGCCTTCTGGATATTGAGATTCCATCAGTAGTTGACACCTTTTTAAGGAATTCAGATGCTGTCCAGTTGGAGTTTGATGCAACCTCATTCTTCCACCTTTTTGCAATTGTAGTTGAGTTAGCCATGTACTTTATGTTATTCCAACAACAGCCATCATGCTTGTCATTGATTGCTGTAATCCTCCAGTCATTTTCTGAGGCTTGTTTCCTTAGTGTAATCCTAAAAGGACATTCAGTTTCATTGCACTCAACAATGCACCTAACCTTATCATTTTTGATGTACAGAATTTCCTTTCCTTTATTCATTGCATAATTATAAATTGCCTCCTTAAATTCTGCTTTAGAACCAAATGTTAATCCAAGACAGAACGTAGGTGTTGCCATCTCAATTTTCCCTTTAAACATTGGCAGTTGATATTCTTTTTCCTCTTCATTATCACTGTCTTTCTCACTCCCCTCATCTGAAAATTTTATCTCCAAATCTTCATTAACTTGAACTGCCAAAGCAGTTCCAGCATCATCTAACCCACCAAACTCAGCAGTTGGATCAACAAATTGCTCAAACTCTATGTCATCTAAATCCACAGAACTCTCATCTGACTCAGCATCCTCCTCACTTTCCCATTCATCTTCACTTTCAGGATCAGCATCCTCAACACCCTCAGCATCCTCAACATCCTCAGCACCATCAACATCACCCTCATGCACAACCCAAATCTCTATTTCATTATGCACCTCTATTTCTTTGACTAAATCCCATACTTCACAATATGAAACTATCTCTATCAACCCATTTGATTGATTCACAAACATCTTCATGCAATCTATTATTTCATAACCCAAACACTTAACCTTATCTCTAAGTGTGAACAATTCCCACTCATTCACACCAATGTTAGAGAAACTAGTAGTCTGCCCTCCAACATAACTTGGTTTATGAGTTTTATTTATCCTACCACCATGCCTTAAATTCAACACAAAACCACCACCAGGAACATTACCTGTACAGCAAAGTAGCCACAAATAGGTTCATTACACACTGTTATATAAGCAGGCAGAAATGTGGATTTCAAATGGTTTACTATCCCAAGACAAGTGGTCCCTACACATAATATAATACACATAAAGGCAATACACATCATTTAACTTTTAACCCAGCCACAACATATGTGCTTTAAACCCTATGTGGTCCCCAATTTCAAGCCAACCAATCCACAATTATTTACAGAACAAAAGGACACACTACCATGTGCTTTCAACCCTCTGTGGTCCCCAATTTCAAGCCAGCATTTGTGCTTTCAACATAAATAACCAAAAAAAAAAAACACAAAAAATCTACTTTAAACAAAATATGTAGTTCATGGCCTCCCACCACCTAAAGAGGGCCCCCATGGTCCCATAAACAAAGCCCAATACTATACTTTAAACGAATGCAGTTCACATACTCAAATTTGTAACAAAAACAACCAATACGAGGTTTCCGTAACACAAAGAACTCCCTACTTAGTTAGTTCACATACCATTCGACTGTCGTTGTGGAGAACCCATGACCTCGTTGAAGTCTGCCCTATTCTCGCCTTGAATTCTGACCTCGAAATTGCTACTTCGTCAATGAAGAATCCTTCGCAATCGCCACTAAATTCGCCTGAGATTTTGTTTAGGGTTTGGTAGTTGGAAATTTGGGAATCAATTGAGGGACTTAGTCTCAGACGTTTTTCTCCAAATAAATGTAAAATGCATTAAAACATTCGCATAAAGTAAAATGACTCATTTGCCCTCCATTTTGACGTCTTAGACGGGACCAACTAACGAAAGGATCCTAGTAGGCCACTTTTGGCAACTCGGAGGATGACGCCCGGTAAATACGAAAGTTAGAGACCACTGATGGCGATGCCACTAAACTCGAGGGACCATAGATGGTATTTACTCTAAATATGTTATACTCCTAGTAATACAAGTTTATATTCAAAGTGTCCAAATAACAATTGCATTGCATTATATAATAATAATAATAATAATAATAATAATAATAATAATAATAATAATAATAATAATAATAATAATAATAATAATGGGTACTTAGGTCTGTATACTACTTATCTTATTCCCTTCGAAATCCTATGGATACCAAACATTAAAATTGAAATTTTCAGTAATATAATTCTATTCTTGCAAATCAAACATTGGAATTTAGATTCTCACTTTATTCTCACACTATTCATCTCTCATGAAATTGCGATTCTTTCCTTCCCTAATTCTCTTCTAGCAACCAAATGCGCCTTAAATGGATAAAGCTTCACATTGGATGGGTTAAATTGGATACAGAGGGATGTTGAATAGCATATAAGTTAACCAATCATGCTAATATTTAATAAATATTGGTTATTAATGGAATTTAATAATCACATATGTGGTTAAGAAAATTTAACATTTAAAATTATATAATTGAGAGAATAAAATGTATTTTGAAAAAGTATGGTATAAGAGGGCATTTAATTGAAATTGTTTATAATGAAATTCATGGATATAGAAAATATAGCTAGAGTCTGCAGTATGATGTTGCATTCAACTTTATAGAAAGCATCCCTAACACAGTGGAGATGACAGACTCTGAAAAGCAAACAATACACACTAATATTTCAAACTCAATAATTCATACAATTAGACAAATAAGATGTGACAACACAATCCTGCTTTGAACGCATATCACTACTCAAAATTGAGAGAGTTTTTATGCAATTGGACACCTCAAAATTGTGTAAAAATTGTAAAATAATTATGACCCGTTTGGTTTGTGGAAATGAATTAAGAATGAAATGAATTTTAATTAAATTCCATTAAAAAAAAAGTACTTGAAATATTAATTCCATTGTTTGGTTGATGTGAAATAAATTGTTGGAATAATTAATATAAAGTATTAAATTCCCTTGAATATTAAAGATATACAAGGGTAATATAGAAATTGGTATTGTAACTTATTTCTCAAAGTCGTGGAAAATAAAATACCAAAATAAAACAATGAATTCATTTTCCTCAAATTTGAGAAATTCATTTTCCATAAATTAAATTATTCACCAATCAAACAAGATAAAATTTATTTTTCCACAAATTTGAGAAAAAAATTCTCTTAGAAAAAAAATTTCATGTTAACCAAACATGCTTTACTAACTTGAGCGTTAGATAGAAACCGAATAAAATGTAAAAACTTTATAATAATCATGCACTAATATCATTTTCTACTGTACATGAGTTTCTTAACAATGACTCAAGAAACCCATTTTGATGGGGGAAAGGGTGGAAACCCCATAGCTAGGTTATCGCCTGCTATGACCAGCATTATGGTGCACCGCCTCGTGTCTATCCTTCCCAAAAGAGTCGTGAACAATATCCAGGGGACACCCAAACTTGATCCAGTCACATCTTCCTTGTATTTCCATTTACGCAAGACCATCAACAACACTCTTTTGTTTGCGGGGAACATGTGTGATTACCAAATCTCAATCCTTCTTGATCCAACGGGTGCAGGCTCTAATGACGGTCCCGCTCGAACCCAAAGGCTCGGGTCCCTGGTTGATCCATCTGACCACCTCCTCATAATCACTCTGGATCTAGACTTTTTTTGAATCCCTTGCTCCAAATTTATAACATATTTATTTTTGAAATAAAGGTCAAATAGGCCATCGAACTACACACGAAACTGCAGTTGTATGATTTTGTGTTGTTCAAGAACTCGATTACAATTTTTTTAGTTCAATGGTAAAATTGCAATTTCGTGTGTAGTTTGACGGTATTTTTGACCCTTATTTCAAAAATGAATATGTTTTAAATTTTTATTTTTGTAATGTTTGAATACAACTTCAAATTATTTCTTGAAATTTGTAAAATAGTTTTTTTTTTTTTTTTTTTTTTTTTACAACTCTAGCCCTGAATTTTTGAATTATAAATTCCAACTATCTCTAGAAATTTATATTAAATTATCTAAATAATTAATCATGTTTAAAGGCCTTTAACTTGAGCTGGTTACAGGTACCATCAAATCATGGTAGAGAATGATTCAGATGTGACAATCAAACATATATTTTCATACCAAAAATGTTAATCAAAAAATGAGACGAGGATATTAGGAAGTCAACAAGATCGAAGGCATCAGAATGTGCCATCTAGCAGCATCTAGACATTCAAACAATTTTCATTTCTGTTATGTTAGTTAGGATTTTCCTTTCTGAAGTTTCCCTCCCTTAGCTTTGTATATAAGAGCTCCATGTATTTCTTTGCAACAAGTTGTTGAAATAAGATCTGATATTCCTTTTCTTTCCTTCTTGCATTCTGTAAAATGGTATCAGAGCTCTCAAGATAAGAGCTCGATTCTATTAGTTTTGAAATGACGAACTGGCCTCCAGTCAACATCAATTCAGCGACGCATCCAGCCGGGAAAGCAGCCGGGAATACATCTGGAACCTCAGCGACGAATCCAACAAGCAATGTAGCCTGGAATGCAGCCGGAAATACAGCTCCGACGAACAGATCTAGTTCGCAGGAGGTAACATACGATCCTCAATCGCAATCTAATCCGTATTACTTATACATTAACGAGAATCCAGAACTGGAACTCGTTTCCTTCCCTTTGGATGGATCCAATTATCATGCCTGGGCTAGGGCCATGACAATGGCATTGTCCTGCAAGAATAAAGTGGCTTTCATTAATAGAATTATCAAGAAACCTCCCCAAGATGACCTAGAAAGATACTATGTCTGGGAGAGGTGCAATAATATTGTATGTGCGTGGATTGTTCGAACTCTTTCGCCAACTATTGGTCGAAGTGTCTTTTGGATAGACACAGCCTATGGCATTTGGAATGACTTGAAGAGACGATTCAGTCAACAAGATCTGTTTAGAGTTGCTGAGATCATGTGTGAAATATACCAGACAAAGCAGGGAGATGATTCTCTAAATGAATATTTCACAAAACAAAAGTTGCTATGTGATGAGTTGGTCATACTCAGGCCTCCAAAGATTTGTACCTACACCAATAAGTGTGAATGTGGAAAGAAATTGGATGAGGTAATTGAACAGGGAGAAAAAGACAAACTATCCATCATCCTAATAGGTCTACATGAGAGGTACACTGCTGCTAGGAATCAGATCATGCTAATGAGACCTTTGCCTGATGTCAATGAAGCATATTCCATGATTGCTCAATAAGAAAGACAATTCCAGATGGCTGCTGGCTTTGGGAGCCAATTACACCAAGCAGGAGAAAATGCAAGTAGTGTTTTCTTAGCCAAAACTAAGGGAGGTTTCCAGCAAGGATTCAAGAAGACACGAGCTTCAAACAAAAGGCCCGTGTGCACCTACTGTGGCTATACTGGCCACACACAAGACAAATGTTATAAGAAACATGGTTACCCCCAGGTTGGAAGCCAAGATCTAGGGCTCATGGTTCAATAAACCAGGTCCAGGAAGCATCTGTCACTCAGCAACCTAATGATTTGCCAGTGTTATTTGTCAGAATATGGTCGGAAATTTTTCGGAGGTTCGCTGGAACCTTAATGATTTGTAATTATAGGTCACTAATTAGTTTTTGGATCTCAATGCTCTAAAATGATATGTTTAAGGGCTTAATTGCAACATTTGAAAGTTTAAAGGTCTAATTGACTTCTTGAGTAATGTTCAGTGTTTATTTGACTCTTTTCCCTTTATGTAATTATATTTTTCTCAAATAAATATGGGGTAAATGGGAAATAATTTTAAAAAGCATTAAGATGTGAAAAGAAAATTGGAATGCAGCTGTCAAATAAAACTATTTTTGTTCGCATTATTGATTTAGTTAATTTTTTTTTATTGTAAAACAAATATATTTGAAAGGTAAAAAATTAGGCAATAGTCATAAATAAAAATATTTGAAAAAAAATGATGAATTTCATTACTAGTCTAGTAAATTTGCTTTAGAAAGTAAATGGATAATAAATTTAATAACAATTATAATATTAAAATATGATATTATCATAATGTCAAATTTTTAAAAACTTCCTTGTATACAATGTTTGCTATTGAAGTTCTTTTATTGCTTTCACTGTCACAAATCAATATTTTCAACTCACTTGTTGTAGTGACCTTTGAAACTACAACATATAATTGTCCATGACTAAAAACATGTTTTTTTTTTTTAAGAATAGACCTACATGCATGAGAAAGTTTAGTAATGACCATCCTTGTGCCATTACATAAACCAATTAAGTAGTCAATGTTTCTCAAGAGCATAAACGGATTGCCAACTTTCAATGTCAATTAATGATTGGGTACGACTGAACACTTTAATATTGCAATTAACTATTTACCGTTACTTTTAAATTTATTATATTTTTGAAAAATCATCATAATTATTTTTTAAAATATTTTTATTTCTAAACTTACAACTTATTTTTATATCTAAACTAGTTTATCATATCATCTCTTATTTAACTATCATAAGTCAAACATTTTTAAAGGTTTTTGGAATTCTTGCAGATGTAGAGGCCTGTCAACAATACATGTCTTGATCAGATCCCACAAGGCTCAATTAATACTCTGGCAGTGGAACTCCAAAGTGAAGGTATGATCTCACTTAATTCTGTCAAGTGCAATAAAAGTGAGTGGATAGTGGATATTGGTGCTACTCACCACGTTATGTGTGATATAGACTTACTGAGCAGTCAGAAGAAGGTCCAAAATCTACATGTGTGCATGCCAAATGGGCAGAAGGCTGCTATCGCCCTCACTGGAATAGTATGCCTATCTGATGAGTTTATTTTGTATAATGTGTTGTATGTGCCTGGTTTCCACTACAATCTGATCTCTGTAGGAGCTTTCATTAAGGACTCCAAAGGTGCTATAGAGATGAATTCTAATCATTGTGTTATACAGGATGCTATCCATGGGAAAATGATTGGAAAAGCTGAGCTGCAAGGTGGATCGTACTACTTAGTTATTCATATTGCTTCTGTACGCAATTCTGTTTCCATTCATGACAAGTGTATTCTTTGGCACAATAGATTAGGACATGCCTCATGTTCAAAGATTCAGCTCTTAAAAGACTTGGAACCTACTATTTAGTTTAATAAAGATTTCATTTGTGATTGTTGCCACTTTGCTAAACAAAAGAGGTTACCATTTCAGTCTAGTGATTCTTTAGCTTCCAGTTGCTTTGATTTATTGCACATGGACATCTGGGGCCCTTACAAAACAACCACTATCCTTGGTCATCATTATTTTCTTACTATTTTGGATGATCATAGCAGGTCAGTGTGGGTATATATGATGAAAGCAAAGTCTGAAACCAGATATCTAATTACAAGCTTTTGTAATCTAGTTGAGAATCAGTTTGGGGCTAAAGTGAAGTGCATAAGATCTGATAATGGCCTAGAGTTCAATATGACAGATTTCTTAACCAAAAAGGGGATTATGCATCAAACCTCATGTAATTACACCCCTCAACAGAACAGTAGGGTTGAAAGAAAGCATGGTCACCTACTGTCAATAGCTAGAGCCCTCAGATTTCAAGCCAATCTTCCTAAGTGTTTTTGAGGTGAATGTATACTGCATGCAGTCCATATAATTAACAGGCTGCCCTCTGCTGCTATTAACAATCAGATTCCTTACAAACTCCTACTCAAGAGGCTCCAACAATACCAGAATTTGAAAGTTCTTGGCTATCTAGCTTTTGCAACTACAGTAGGGCCTAGAAAAAAGTTTGAGGCTAGGGCAAGGAAATGTGTCTTTCTAGGATACTCTAATAGCACAAAAGGATACAAATCATATGATCTTGCAATTAAAGAATTTTTCTTGTCTAGGGATGTGGTGTTTTATGAAAATGATTTCCCTTTCCAACAAAGTAATGGCAAAAAAGACACAATCTCTCAAATGATTCTACCCACAATGAGGGGTGACACAGTGGAGTTGACTGATTTTCCACAACCCCAAACTCAGAATGGCCTTCAGAATCAAGCTCAGAATGATGCATATTCTCCAAATCAGACTCAGAATGATATGTGTTCTCCAATTCAGGCTCAGAATGATATGTGTTTTCCAACTCAGACTCCTGAAAGCATACAAAGTCACACTCATCCTCCTCAGATTCCTCAACAGGCTGCTAGGAGGCCATCAAGGCAGAAAACTATTCCCACCTATCTGCAAGACTATGTCTGTCACTGTTGGAAAAATAGCTTAAAATGGCATGTTAAGTGGCTATTTTGTGGTACAATTATCAGTGGGCTCCACTTTTGATTTGGGTCAGGTCAAAGTGGATTCGGATTCTTCGTAGTGAGACGAAAAGATCGATATATTGTATGCTCAAAACGGATAATGGGTGAATGAGATATTGATTCTCAAAGTAGACCCATTTGAGTTGGAAAATGAAGGGAAAAAGTGAGCTTTTGTCCCACATTGGTTTGGAAAGAGGATTTGCCCCCCCTTATATACAAGAGCTCTTTTGAAACTTGTAGAATTGTATAGCATAGAGGCTCTCTCGCCCGAACTTGTGTGCGCCGGGGGGGGGGGGGGGTGTGCAAATCAAATTCCAACTAGACGAGATTGAAAAATGCTTGATTCAAGCCCGAGCTCGTGTGCGCCGGCACTTGCGGGCACGAATGTTGTCCGGAAATTGGCTGGCCTTGCGAGCTAAGTTATGCCAAACTTCGGTATCATTTTCCAACCAGTATAGTCACTTGGTTCGGCCGAAACCGAGAGCACCACTCTCGTGGTGCACCGAGAGCACAACTTTCGTGCAACTGTGACCACGAGAGGTGTAAAGGCCGAAACTGGGTAAGGTCGAAAGTTGAGACTGAACCCTGGACGCCAACGGTCTGGAACCCGAAAGTTCTGACTGTTATGGGGATTGAATTCATCTGTTACGGAATTAATATCCTATTAACTCCAATTTTGAATTCTGAATTCAATTCTCGGGTAGTGGCCTACTGTTATAGCTGTTGGAGAGCCAGCTTTAAAGTGCCATAATAAAAGCTATTTAATCCTTCAACCCTATATAAGAGAGGGTAGAGGCAGTAGAGAGATACACAGAAAAATAGAACACGAAAGTTCATCATTTTTAGCCTCAAAACCTCTCTGCTTCTACTCCTTCTTCAAGCCTTACTGTGTTCATAACCGTGTCTTGCTCGCCGGATTCCTTGTTTGAGTGCTCAAACATTGAATCACTAGCAAGTTTTATCCTGGGAATCCTAGGCCACAACGCTCCTAGCATCTTTGGGAGGTGGAAAATAAGGTTTTAAGGAAAGAGTGCTCACTTGACTCTTGCAAAAACCCAACACCAAACACTAGCCAAATTTCTTCATCTTTTCTTCCCATCTTTCCAGAAAATAATAGTCATATTTTATTTGATTATTATTTGTTTTCTACCAACGGTTCCAACAATATTAAAACCTTACTCCTTGTTTTCCCGTTGGTTGTTTTCTCTAATTTCCTTGAAGAAATGGAGAACCCCGAGCTGCCTATCGTTAACAATGGGGAAGAAAATGTTGTTGAGAACAACAATGGAGGAAACGGCAACAATGTTGCTAATTCCCAAGCTACACCAGTGAACGTTGGTTCACAAGATGGTGGGAGCACTGAGGGATATATTCCCATGTCTCGGGTACCTTCGGTACCGAGTGGTTCGGCTGAAAAGCCGGAAAAGTTCACCTGTGTTGGTTCGAACATCAAGAGGTGGCAACAAAAGATGTTGTTCTACCTAGCAACTCTCGGCTTGGCAAGGTTCTTGTCCGAGAAGGTTCCCGAGTTGAAGGAACAAGATGCACAATCCATGATGGCAGTTGGCTATTGGAAGGATTCGGATTTCCTTTGCCGAAACTACATCCTGAACGGATTGTGTGACATGCTGTATGATGTATATCGAAAGATAAGCACATCAAAAGCGTTGTGGGAAGCTTTGGATCATAAATCCCGAAGTGAGGATGTCGGCTCAAAGAAATTTGTGGTTGGCCGATTCCTCGACTTCAAAATGGATGATTCAAAAACTGTGCTAAGTCAGGTAGAAGATTTGCAATTAATCTTCGATGAGATCCATGACGAGGGCATGGTGCTAAGTGAAGCCTTCCAAGTGGGATCCGTGATCCATTTGTTGCCTCCAGGTTGGAAGGACTTCAAGAACTACCTTAAGCATAAGCGAAAGGAAATGAATCTGGAGGACCTGATCCAGTGACTCAGGATTG